CGTCCCCGCGTCCCCGCGTCCCCGCGTCCCCGCGTCCCCGCGTCCCTGTGTCCCCGCGTCCCACGTCCCATGTCCCAGTCCCCAAGTCCCTGTTCCACTTTTAGTCCCGGCCTAACAGAGAAGTGTCTTCAAGAATGTATTGTTACAGCAGCACTACCTTGATCACAATAAATGGCTTATCTTTGTGTTATCTCTTTATCTTCAAGGTTGGCACACAGGATCAGGATGGTGAATTATGTAGACCAAGTATTCCAAGGATGATAAATTTAGAGGGAAAAGATGTACACCAGTGTTCTGCTGGGTAAGTCATAACATAATAAAGGATCGTCTTCTGAAGCCATTCTTATGTGGGAGCCATTCACTAAATCATGCATATACTTAAACTTACATTGTGTAATAACACTCATACTTGTGTACATGTAGATAATTATGTAACAGTAATGAACTTTAGTGGTTCATTACAGGAGAATTCCTTATCTCCAGTGTGATAGCAAGAAACTGACTTGAAGTATTGCAGCTTCTCCTGCATGGAATGCTGGTGTGTCAAGGGCCATTACTCCACTTCCTTGGAACTTTTGTGAACTTGCTCGATCTTGGGAACTTCTTTAATTCACAAAATTTATATTATTTGCAGTATAAAATAATGCTCCTGTGTATTAATTATCGTACATTTCATATACATACCTCACCTTCTATATTTATAAGATCAGCTGATGTGTTATTAACATCTGAAAGCTTGCCTATGTTCGCTGCGGAAGGTGTTTACAGGTATTTTCTAAAGATCACCTGAACCTTTCTTTTTAGTTGGGTTCCGGTTTACACAGACAAGGACAAATGAGTGGCTGTTGTGTCAATTGGTTTCTTGTTTAATAACAGACTGAGATGATGTCGTTGTGTGGAGAGGATCTAAGAAAGAATGGTATTTATTCCTTTATGCTCTTTACTTATATAGTTTTTGACTTACCTTGACCTGCTCAAGCTTGTTAATCAAAGCTAGATCTGAGTGTCTCATCATTAGTGAAACTGTCCTGAAATCACTTCAAGGATCTGCATATGCCACCACATATTGAGTTATTTTTTGTAATGCACAAAATTACCTTAGTTTAAAATGTAGGAAACCTCAAAAATATATTTTCTAACTTAAGGTAGCTATAACTAGGCTTTGTTGATAGCGAGTAAACGATAGTGTGCAATACCACAGCTGGTCACCACTGGATCTACAGTGTAACAATTTGTACAAAAGTTATGCAAATTATTTTGATTACATTGTGGCTTTTCTGGGCTTTTGAATGAAAAGGAAAATTAAAAATGGAGCAAATTCTGTAGAGTGCTACAAACATTTTCAAATTGATGTTCCAGCAGACTTCCTTGAGTTCTCATGTGACAGTTACCGGTATGTTTTTTTTTTTAGCAACAATCAAGCAGCTTCTATCAGATGTGTGTTGGGGTGACAGGTCTGGATTGCCAGATTATGGATACACCTCCATGGCCAGGTATGACAACAATATAAAATATAATTTTCAGAGACTTGTGATGTACCCATGTGTGAGGTAAAACAGACAAGTGGTTAATGTCGTACACTCTAGATCAATAGGCCTGGATTCCATGGGTCTCTGTACTGCATTCTTAGGTGAGAGACTTGACTTGCAATACCTCATCACATAGGAGGAGAAATGAGTACTAACAAGTTGTTGGGCAACCTGAACTGCAAAAAGATGGGGATGTTAAGGAGATTAAGGGGGAGGGAACAATACTTCACACTAGGAGACTGGTTTTGACCTCTTTTGATCAGAGTAGATATACTCTTTATTGTTAACTTTGCTGCTAGTGCAATTGTGCACATCTCATTTTGCAGTATGCAGTGCAATGCTATCATTATTGCTCTGTTCTAAGATTGGTTTTGTTCAATCCAGGGACATCTGACGACCACATTACAGTACTTAGTAGAAAATCTGCAACATTATAATCCAGATGAAGCAATTCTTGTCACTACTCCTCAGGTATGCATAAAGTATTTATTATAAGATTTCTAAATTATTGCTGTCGATTATTAAGAAGCCTTATTTGGATCTTGGAAAGTTTACTTCTTTATCTTCATAGTATGTAATAATATTCCACTCTCTTTCTTTAGGGAATGCGCAAATTATGCATTTTCAAAAGCAGGAGGTGAAGCCTTGGCAACGAGCTGCGATGTTCAGCCATTTTTAGGTAATAATATTTATTAACATCAGTGACTACACAGGAAGGGGGATAGGGGGGTTAGGGGCAATCTAGATCA